TTCATCGCTTGATTCTTGAAGCTCTTCAAGATCAATTTGCCTCCCACTGTCCTCTTGGCATATGAGTTCTCTTTCTCGGAAAACCCCTCTCTTTACAACGAAGACAACATTGTCACTCGGTCTATAGAAGAGATATCTGAAAGACTTCTGTGGATAGCCGATGAAAATACACAGCTCACTATGAGGCTCGAGCTTATCGTGAGTCTCTCGTCTTACAAAAGCCTCGCAACCCCAAAACTTGATATGTGCCAACGAGGGAACTTTCCATGTCCATATCCTGTGAAGTGTTTTGGCAACCTTCTTAGTTGGGACTAGATTAAGGATATGGGCGGCAGTCTCTAAGGCATACTCCCAGAATGAGATAGGTAACGAAGCTCGACTCATCATGGAACAAACCATGTCCAACAAGATTCGATTGTGCCTCTCAGCCACACCATTCAACTGCGGTGTCCTAGGCGGCGTCAATTGCGAAACGATTCCGCATTCCTTGAGGTAGTCGTGGAATTCAATACTAAGTTACTCGCCTCCTCGATCGGATCGGAGCATCTTAATTTTCCTGCCCAGCTGATTCTCCACTTCTTGCTTAAACTCTTTGAACTTTTCAAAGGTTTCCGACTTGTGCTTGATTAAGTAGATATACCCATATCTATTATAATCATCATTAAAAGTCACATAGAAGCCGTTAGCATCCTGTGTGGTGGATCTAAAGGGTCCACATACATCCGTATGTATGAGATCCAATAAACCCTCACCCCTTTCACAAGTTCCAGTGAAGGGTGACTTGGTCATCTTTCCAAGTAAACAAGACTAGCACGTGTCATCCGATTTAAGGTCGAATGACTCCAACACTCCATCCTTTTGGATTTGGGGTATGCGCTTCTTGTTGACATGTCCAAGACAACAATGCCACAAGCATGGTTTGTCCAAACCATTGGACGAATCAATGTGCAACACATTATTTCCAAAGTTATCTACAACATTCACAGTTTCATCTACTCCATTACAAGGGAATGCTTCAAAATAGAAAGTACCATTCAAGATAGCATTAATAGAACTAATTTCATTGTTAAACGAAAATCTAAAACCTTGTATGTACAAACCATGAAAAGAAATAATGTTTCTCGCCATTTCTGACGAGTAGCAACAATCATTCAAATCTAAACCTAACCCACTACTAAGCACAAAAGAGTAAACTCCAATCTTGGTGACAGGCGACGATTTCCTATTTCCCATGATCAGGTTCATCTTCCCATGCTCCTCGTCCTTACTTCTTCTTAGACCCTGCAAATCAGAACAAATGTGAAAACCACATCGTGTATCAAGGACCCAAGAAATAGCATGTGATGATTTGTTAGATTGAATAGTATAAATACCCACGAAGGATGGTTTTATCTTTCCATCCTTGATGTCCTGCAGATACTTCGGGCAGCTTCGTTTCCAATGCCATTTGTCGTGATAGTAGAAACACTCTGCTTCTTTTGGGTTGGAAGAGGGGGTAGCAGAACCAGCTTTGGTCCCACTAGAAGAGGATCCATCATGGGGTTTACCCTTGTGGCTCTTAGAAGGAGCCTTCCTCTTCTTTCCTTTCCCTTGTCCAATAGCCAAGTCAGGGGCAGCAGTAGTAGGAGTAGATGTATTAGATTTGCCTTCCAGACTACTCTCAGCAGTCCTTAGTAGGCCTTGAAGCTTGCTCAGAGTGACCTCCTCCTTGTTTATATGATAGGTCATACGAAACTAGTCATAACAAGGACGCAACGAGTGTAGATGATATTTATGGCCAACTCCTCGTCAAAGTTCACATTCAACTTCATCAAGCGGTCCACGAATCTCTGTATTATCTGCAAGTGGGCCGTGATGGACTCTCCGTCCTTCATTTTGGTAGTGATCATCGAGGAGATGATCTCATACCTCTCCTGTCTGGCACTTTGATGGTAACGTTCCATCAAATCTTGGTGCATCTCGTAGGGATAGTAGTCCTCGTAGGACTTTTGGAGTTCAGAAGTCATTGTTGCGAGCAAGATGTAGTGAACCTTCGTAGCATCTCGCTCATGAGTTTCGTAAGCAGCAATTTCTTCAGGCGTAGCAGTGTTGACATTGACCTCTTTCAGCTTCTTATCGAGAACATACTCTTTGTCCTCATAGCGGGTGACCATGCGAATGTTGTGGATCCAATCATTGAAATTGGTCCCATCAAATATCACCCTCCCACACAAGTTTATGAGTGAAAATGAGCCAAAAGGGGTCGAGCCAAAAGGATTGTTGTTTTGAGTAGACATCTGAAATAGAAAAGAAACAAAGTTTAGATTAGATAATTATCCCCAATTAAACACCCAAATGAGAAATTAGGGCTAGGACCCAACATGATTATTTACAATTCAGAAGAGGGATGTTGTAATCTAATTGCAAATAATATGAAGGTAGGTAAATGACGATTTACTAATTTCCACCATGAAAAACGAAAAGGACTTAAATTTTAAATGAATTGAAATTCCTAGATTCTTTTGAGATTCGTTGAACTTTTCAATGGCATGTTTAAATCTCGATTATGCCCTTCAAGTTTGTGATTGGGATACCGAGGATCACAAACAAGGTGTGAATAACTATGCAAATGTACTTGGTACTCTCGATGTCATTTACCACCTAATCAATGTGCCGGTTCGGCACACACGCTCCATTGATCTATGATAAACATCAAGCTACCCTTTTCCACCTTCGCTAGTCCCAATTTAGTGTGTTGGTTAACCACACACGCTCCACTAACGACTTCGCAAGGTGCAATGTGTAATTTCATGGAATAGCATACATTTTCACATTTTTCCTAAAGTAACTAAGATTGGGAATTTATAAAAAAAATTAGTTACTTATAATCATTATACTTATTAATGAGGAATTATTTCACCTTATCCTACCCGTTCGGCTAGCGAACCTCTACCAATCAAGGAAGCGGTGGGTGAGAGTGAAGACCCATTAAACTGCCATTTTATAGGCAGCAACCTTATACCCCCTTATAGATCGGCTTCGTGAATGAGGCCTACTAACGGTAAGACTAGCTTTATCTTATACATATATATTATTAATATTTTAATATTATAATAGTATAAGGGTTGAATTTTAACTTTTAAAACTCTAGGGTTTAGAATTTAAATATTTCAAAATTAAAACTATTAATCAAAAATTTAAATTCCAAAACTTGAGGGCAAGTTTTGAAACTTTTCAAAACATCTTTTAGATCAAATTTAAAAATAATTAATTAATCATATTATTAATACTCATCACATAATTTGACCTAATCTATTTCCTTTACAATATAATTCAAATCAAAGATACAAATAATCAATTTTATCTTATAAAACAAGTAATTATCTTATTTATGACAATTATCCTTCAATTGAATTAGGATAATCAATAATATATTGAAAAAATCGAGTTTTATCAGTCAAAATTGTTTTTGGTAATTATCCCAATTCAATTTTGGTCAAAATCTCGAAAAATCAGCCATCAGGCTAGCCGACTTGCCGAGTCACAGAACTGGACTCGTCGAATAGCCCTTACTCGTCGAGTTCATCTGGTGACTCGACGAGTCCATCAGTCAGAGGCATGATTTTTCGACTTTTGAGCTTGAACTAATTAGCTATGCATCAAATAGAAAAGAGAAACGATCTAGGCTCTGATACCACTGTTGGGTTATGAGCAAAACAACATTCCTATGGTGTTCATGCAAACCCTAATGTTTGGATCTAGTTTTTTTACTTGTACATGCAACAATTGTCCAAGACTTGTAAACCCTAATTTTTGTGATTAAAATCATTAAAGATCGATTAGATTCAGAAAAAAGTAAAACAATAACACAATGATGATTCAAAGAATGCCGAATGATTAAGTGTCACGCCTCATAAGAACTCTATGAAGAATTGCTACTGTAGAGGCATGATTAGGGTTACAACGTAATGATCAGAGTTAACTAAAATGTGATGCATGCATGCACCTTAAATACTCTAACCCTAGAAATAAATACGAGTGGACAGGCCCAACTCGATAATACAAAAGACTATATTAAAATCCCAATGACGCAACCTCTAATACCCAACAATCTCCCCCTTTGTGTTAATTGAGGCACGAAACCATCAGCCTTGGATTCGCTTTTGCACTTCATAAAATTTCGGAATGATACCAAAAATGGCCTGACGAACTTCCATATACCACAAAACCATGTCAGAGAAGCACTTGAGGTCTTCCTTACTGTTTCCTTTGTATTTGCTCACCAAATCCAAAATATACTCGAGGAAGGATGTAGTGTACAAATGCTTATCAGAATGGAAGAAGCAACCTCTGCGAAAGTCAGCACCAGTTCATTCCCTAGTTTGATAGACAAAAAACCATTCTCCACTATGAATCTTTCCTAGCTTCAACTTTCAAAATCCTTAGGAGATTCCTTGCAAACAGCAGAAGGCTTCTTTCATATCACAACAACAACCTCAACATCCATATCCCTAATCTCTTGAACATAAGACATTATCATTAGCTTGAGATGAGACATGATAGGTTCATATTTTTCTTTGTTCTTTAGCAGCATGTTGTAAAGAATGAACCAGTCATTGGGGTTAAGGCATGGTAAGTCTGCGAGAGTGAATTTATAGCACTAGCTGGCTGAACCTCTTGCCACTTTGAACTTTGCGTTAGGAAAGTTGTCAGTCTCGATTGGCCCTATGACTTTCACCGCAGTTATCTTGCTTAACGACCAGGTTTCGTATTGCGGCTTCATATGCTTTAGATAAAAAGAGAACAGCATATGATCAGCCCCGCTATCAGTGGATGGAGCGTTTGCCACTTTCACAAAAGAACGGAACCTGAAGGTTTTTGGAGTGATTGGTAGATCCAGTTGCGAGTCTTGTGTGTTTTGAAGATCAAATGACACAAGGTCCATTTGGGGTGATTGGTAGATCAACAACATCATGCTGGATTCGCTTCAAGGTCCATTTGGGGAATAAAAGCTTTTTGCTTTAAATAGTAGCCTGAGCCTCTTTCTCAGCTCTTTCCTTTTCTTCAATCTCTCGGATGATCTGTTGGTGCTCATCCAGTTCGGCTTCACGAACCTTTCGCTTTTTATGCTCGTGTGTGGCTAGCTCCTCTTCATCTTCACTGTTATCGACGATGGGCTCTTCACTGAATAATTTTTCCTTGCCCTTAGGTTCTTTCTTGACAACAAGCTTAACTGGAGCATTAAAGTCTTCTTTCCTTGACCTATCAGACACACCTTCTCCCCCTTGTTTCGGAATACTGCCAGATTCCGGAACACCTTCTAACATGTGAAGCATTGCGAAGACTGGCCTTAACTTCTATGCCAGATGCTTGTGCATTGTTATTGTGATCATAGAGTCCCTGGTCTCAATGATATCCGAGAGCAGGCCGGTAACATCTGAGATACAGCTTCGCATGACCGCTCTCTCAGATAACAAATCATTGAACTGTTTCTCAGAAGCTTCCAGTTTAACACCCAACACCTTTGCTTCTTCTGTCTTGAGGGTAAGAGAGTCCTTGTGGTTATTCTCCTTTGCCAGTTCATCTTTAAGCTTGGAAATTTGAGAGGAGATGGAAGTTTGAAATGCTTCATGGTCAGTTTTTCAGACCAGTACGAATCTCCTACAATTTCGTCTTCTCAGTTTTGAAAACTGAACCCACACTCTTTAAAGCTTCATTGGCTACCGTGGTGTTGGAGTTGAAGGTAGTTTGGAAATTCTCCATGAAGTTAGTAGTGTCAACAATTAGTTTATCAACTTTTTGGGTCATAGTCTTGCAAACATCAGCAGAATCAGCAACTGCTTTATTCATCTGTTCAGCGTTTGCAGAATGCTCCTTCATGATTTTATCAAAGAGAGAGTCAACTGCTGCCTTAGAATATTCGTCAGAAGACGAAGCATGGGAAGCGAGAAGCAGTTGATCAATATTTTTGTGTAGGGACTGAAGTTGCCCTTTCGAAACAGTCACATTATCTTCACTCTCAGTCCGTATTTGGAAAGGACTGTAAGTGAATCCCCCAAGATATTCGTCTTCAGCATCATCAAAGATCATATCTGGGTCATCTCGATTGAATGGGGAAACAGGAGGTGAAACATGGGTTGAGAAACCTGAAGTTTTAGCCCCCATATCAGATACGTTAACCGAAACTAAAGGTGTGGTGGAGGTAGTAGGTGGAACTGTAGAATCTGTGAACAGTGGGGTATTAAGAGGAATGTCGGTTTGTTGTTGTGAAGAGACCGGTAGAGGGCATGGAGCGATGGTAATTGAGATAGAGGTAGTTTTAGGTGACGGGGGAGGAGAAGGAGCAGAATTGTTAAAAGTTTGAGTTACATCAGCATTGGATCTCTCTTCTTTGTTGTGAACGTTCTCATCCTCGTTGTGAACATTGTCATCCTCCTCGATGCGAATGTCGGATTTAGTATCAGACTTCGAATATTCGCTTGCACTTGGAGTAGGGGTCTTTCTCTTGCGAGCGGGCTGCTTTCGTCTTTTGGGATTTGTTGTAGAATGAGCAGTCTTCGCCTTTCGCTTCTTTGGAGTGACAGTTGGCTCAGAGGGACCCTCTTTCGTTTGCTTTTGTTTACCTCCCTTTTTTACCTTGTCAGCTTCGTTAATTGTTATCCGCATCTCAAGAGTAATGATGCGAGCTCCTGAAGGTTTAAGCTTTTTGTACTCCTCCAGAATTTTACTCGCAGCTGGCACACATCGAAACATTGTCTCTGGAATAGAACCATTCCATTGAGGAGGCAAGTTGGGTTTTCTGAACTTAGAGATAAAGGGAATGAGATCTTTATACCCCATCTTATAGAACATCTCCATAATTGTTGCGATGGAGATTGAGTCTGGATTCACCATGGATTCATCGTATGCAAGCCCTAGCAGAGAACAAAACCTGGACTTGGTGATAGAAGTTTTCTTGTCAGAGATTTCGAAGGTGATGCGTTTTTCTTCCTTGATGTATGATGCTGATGAATAAGCCTTCGAGAGTAGAGACATTGGGACGTACTCAACCTTAGTTAAGGGAGTGACCAGCGGGGAATACTTCAAGCATTCAATGATGAGAAGCATGAAGGAATCGTACTTGAAGGGAGACAAGTCAAGAATCAAGTTTTGATTCTGTTTGATGGCAAGTAGTGACGAGTGAGCGGTCTGATCATGAACTGATGAAGAAATGGCCATTGTTGCAGGTTGATGAAGAAGAAGAACAGTAGAGAGAAATCGTCGTTTAGGGTTCTTGAGATTATTGGTAGAGGTAAAAGGTAACTCTGTGGATGAAAATTCCTTTTATACGATTACGCAAGAGAGAGAATTTGAAGTGTCGATTGATCGATTTCCTCTGAAACGACGCCTGAAAAAGCGGGATTTGACAATTGTAGCCCCGATAAAGGTGTCAGGCGGTGTGATAAGTGGAAGCGTTTCAAATTCCACGCGCCTAAATTTCGAAATGTTATCCAGCACAAGCCGCGTCATAATTATCTTGTTCTCATCCTTTAAATCTCCAATCGTTTCAGTAAATACTCATACGTCCGTTCGCATTTGAGACACAAGTTGACTTGTGTGTATAAAATTGAGCATCATTGAATCTGCGAAACTGAAAATGTCATAAGTACCACAAACAAGACTTTAGGAAAATCAGAGAGATCTTCGTGCAAGAGTGTGCCAAAGAAAAAGAAATAAAGCAATATATATCTGTGGGATATGAGTGATGTCTTAAAAGACACGAAACTATAGATCCCGGGCAACGATCTCTTCGTTCAAAGTCAAGAGAGACTAAGAAGTGTCTATGTGGTTTCCCATTGAAATACGATCAAGTGTTTGATAAGAAACATTAAAAGGCATCTTTTAATTAGGCTTAATGGATGGCTAACTCTCCAACCGAACAACGAACTTGATATAAGAACGAATGCTGGATGAAGTACTCGTGTGACCAGTGTTGTCATTTGAACGAGTAGGTTTGGAATTATTTTAGTGACAAGATAAAACTTTGAAATCTCAAAAAAAAAACTGGATCTTAGGGGAAGAAGTGTCTTGGAACCAGAACACTTCATAAAGATATTGCAAAAGAAAAAGAGATTCCTTGATATAGACCACGAAAGTGGCTTTCGTTAATTCCATGGTGAAAATCAAGAACATTTAATTGTTCACCGTTAATTCATGTAAGTGTGTTGAATTTGGGGTTTCACTCAGTTCGTGGTGAACGAATCTAAGATCATTAACACAAATGTTGTGTAACCATAAACCTCAGTGGTATATCTGAGAGTCTCAAGGGTTACATTTATGAGTGCAAAGGCAATGGAGAAGCGTGAAGGTGGTTCCAGAGAAGTGAATGTACCTCTGCTATACGAAAGTGACTAAGCAGATAACTCTTTAACTCAAAGTGAGAAGAGTAAGGTAGCTCATTACTAATGTGAATTTAACAGCCTGATTGGGAAGAAACGATTGGTAGAATCGATTCATTAAGGCTTCACATCGAGTCAATTGAGGCTTTGGACAACATACAGCAGCATGCTTCTAGGGATACTTAGCTAATACATAGATGAAGAAACTTATATCTGCCCTATCACACGAATTGAGATTTGAATCTGTGTCTCCATGATCTTCCCAAGATATTTTTGGTGTTTTCGAAATTTGTGAAAATAAAAGAAATAAAAATAAACACAAATAAAATATTTTTGTATTTTGAGATTTTCTGAAAAAGAAATAAAAACAGAAAGAAAAAATATATTTTTGAATTTTGAATAAAATAGAATAATGCACAAAGGGAAATAAATTAATTCCAAACAAAACAAAAAAAAATAAGAATAATAAAAAAAATGTTGATGCTAATTGGGGCGAACGTTCGTGTCAATTCGTGTCCCGAAAAAATCGAAAACGAATTAGAGCGAGCGTTCGTGCCAATTCGCGTGACAAGAATAAAATTGAAAGCGAGCAAAAATTATTTGATGCGAATTAAGGCGAACGTTTGTGTCAATTCATGTCCCGGAAAAATCAGAAACGAATTAGAGCGAGCACTCGTGCCAATTCGCCTAACAAGAATAAAAACGAAAGGATACCAAGAGAAAAAAAGAGCAAATATATTTGTATTTTTGGATTTTTCAATCAAAGGATTTTTTAACATTATACATAAAGTACAAAAGGATATTGGTAAAACCGAACCACAATTGAACAATGGACAGCGAGCCACTGCGAGCGTTCGTATTGATTTGCGTCGACAACTTTATTAAAGCAAAGGTGGTTTTGGTACAGATTTAGCTTCCATCATTCCTAGGCCTTGAAGAATTCTATTGAAGGTTGTTTCTGGTAAGGCTTTCGTGAATATGTCAGCTAACTTATCAGAGGATCTTACGAAATGAATTTCAACGTTGCCATCTTCTACGTGATCCTTGATGAAATGATACCTCAGTGCTATGTGTTTCGTCTTTGAGTTTTGCACTGGGTTGTGACAAATGCAAATGGCACTTTCAGAGTCACAAGATAGTGGGATTTGTTTCATGCTTAAGCCATAATCACGAAGTTGGCTTTGAATCCAAATGACTTGGGATGTACATGAGGCAGCAGCTATATATTCAGCTTCGGTTGTTGACAAGGACACACATGTTTGCTTCTTGGATTGCCAACTGACAAGTTTTCCATAGAGAAATTGGCATCCTCCAGTTGTGCTTTTTTTTATCTAATCCACATCCCCCAAGGTCAGCATCTGAAAATGCTTGTATGAAGAAGCCTGATTTCGCACGGTACCATATGCCAAGTGATGAAGTTCGTTTCAAGTATCTGAAGATATTCTTGACGGCCACCATATGAGGTTCGCGAGGATTTGCTTGGAACCTAGCACAATAACAAACGGAAAACATAATATTTGGTCTACTAGTTGTTAGATACATCAATGATCCTATCATTTGACGATAAAGGGTCATATCAGCAGCTGGTTTTTCCAGAGATGGTGTCAGTTTCGTTTCGAATGCAATTGGAACCTTCACCTTAGAGTCTCCCACCATGCCAAAATTAGCTAGTAAGGTCTCCGTGTATGCTTCCTGATTTATGAAGATACCTTCTGGTCCCTGTCTTCTATTCAATCCAAGAAAAAAGTTAATTGGACCCATGGAGCTCATCTCAAATTTAGTTTCCATCAACTTTCAGAATTCAGTTGTTAATCTGGGATTCGTAGAACCGAAAATGATGTCATCAACATAAATTTGGACAAACATCAAGTGGTCACCCTCTTTCTTGCAAAAGAAGGTTGGGTCAACCGAACCTTGTTTAAATTTGGACATTTTAAGGAAGCGAGTGA